ACTAAGCAAACAAACAATAAAATCATTGTTTTGTCTTCCAATTCATTTCCCTGTATCTTTAAACAAGATACCTTTGAAAATTTCCTCTATGTATCGCAGAATTCCCACAGGTCAGGTCCATAATATTGTTGCAAAATGAATGCATAATTCACAATTTACCCCCCCAAAAGGATCATGAAACCAAAGGACTCAAATTTAGAAATCAAGGTAAGCAAAGTATACTCTTTATTCTTGAGCCTAAATTAGTAAAAAGATCTATATTTTTTTGATATTAAAAGAAAGTAGACTATCTTTTATTTAGTTTAAAATAACAAACTAATTAGGAAAGACTTCACTTGGTAAGAATTCTAGGAAATCACATGATACAAGAGAAACCCTGCAAGAATTTTTTGGTTTGAGTTGAAGACAGTTAAAAGCTAGACTTTAGGTTGTTCTTGAATCTCTACAGCGTTCTTAACTGGAAAGTTACTTCTTTAAGTGCCCTATAGTCATGCTATCTCAAGCCCGTCTTCTGTTTTTGAAGAGGCTGACTTCAAAAGATGAATGAAACAAACAAGTGCCAAAGTTTCTGAAGCCTCAATTATTTTGCCTTGTGTTCGTCAAGAACCAAAGGCTGTCTAATTGCTCTGGCAAGTGTTTCAAGAACTATGTTAAGTAAAATTGGTGAAAGAAGGCATCCCTGTCTTGTTCCAGTTTTTAGAAGGAATGCTTTCAATTTTTCTCCATTTAGAACAATGTTGGCCTGGGGCTTGGCATAGATAGCCTTTATGAGGTTGAGATATGTTCTTGTTATCCCTCCAAAAAGTTCCACCCCAAAACTTTGAGAACTAGTAAATGAATTCAGCAAAGTAGCAGGATATAAAATCAATACCCATAAATCAAAGGCATTTCTATATATCAGTGATAAATCCTCTGAAAGGGAAACTACCCCATTTACAATAGCCTCAAAAATAATAAAAAAAAAAACTTGGGAATCAACAAAAGAGGTGAAAGACCTCTATAATGAAAACTACAGAATGCTAAAAAATGAAATCAAAGAAGACCTTAGAAGATGGAAAGATTTACCTTGCTCTTGGATAGGCAGAATGAATGTTGTCAAAATGACCATACTACCAATAGCACTATACAGATTTAATGCAATTCCAATCAAAATCATAATGACATTCCTCATAAAAATAGAAAAAGCAATCATGAAATTCATCTGGAAAAATAAGAGACCCAGAATAGCTAAAGCAATCCTTAGCAAGAAGAGTGAAGCAGGTGACATCACTCTTCCAGACCTTAAACTATACTACAAAGCAATAGTAACAAAATAGACTGTTAGACCAATGGTACAGAATAGAGGACACAGAGACTAACCCACATAATTACAGTTAACTTATATTAGACAAAGGTGCCAAAAACATACGTTAGAGAAAAGATAGCCTCTTCAACAAATGGTGCTGGGGAAACTGGAAATCCATATACAACAAAATGAAATTAAACCCTTATCTCTCACCATGCACAAAACTCAACTCAAAGTGGATCAAGGACCTAAGAATTAAACCAGAGACACTGTGCCTATTAAAAGAAAAAGTAGGCCCAAATCTCCATCGTGTCATATTAGGTCCCAACTTCCTTAATAAGACTCCTATAGCACTAGAATTAATATCAAGAATCAATAAATGGAATGGATTCAAACTGAAAAGCTTCTTCTCAGCAAAAGAAACAATCAATGAGGTGAATAGAGAGCCTATATCCCAGGAGCGAATCTTTACCCCTCATACATCAGAGCACTAATCTCTAGGATATATAAAGAACTCAAGAAGCTAAACACCAAAAAACCAAATAACCCAATCAATAAATAGACCAAGGAACTGAACAGACACTTCTCAGAAGGTGAAATACAATCAGTCAACAAATATATGAAAAAAATGTTTAACATCTCTAGCAATTAGAGAAATGCAAATCAAAACTACTCTAAGATTTCATCTCACTCAAGTCAGAATGGCAGCTATTAAGAATACAAACAACAATAAGTGTTGGCGAGGATGTGGGGGAAAAGGCACACTCATACATTGCTGGTGGGACTGCAAATCGGTGCAGCTAATATGAAAAGCATTATGGAGATTCCTTGGAAAATTGGGAATGGAACCACCATTTGACCTAGCTATCCTTCTCCTCGGTGTATACACAAAGGACTTAAAAACAGCATATTACAGGGACATAGACATATCAATGTTTATAGCAGCACAATTCACAATAGCTAAACTGTGGAACCAACCTAGAAGTCCTTCAGTAGATGAATGGATAAAGAAAATGTGGTATATTTACACATTGGAATATTACTCAGCATTAAGAGAGAATAAAATCATGGCATTTGCAGGTAAATGGATGAAGCTCGAGAATATAATGCTAAGTGAAGTTAGCCAATTCCAAAAAAGCAAATGCCAAATGTTTTCTCTGATATAAGGAGGCTGATTCATAGTGGGGTTGGAAGGGGGATCATGGGAGGATTAGACAAATTCTAGATAGGGCAAAGGAATGGGAGGGGAAGGGAGGAGGCTTGGGGGTAGAAAAGATGGTTGAATGGAATGGATATCATTACCCTAAGTATATGTATGAAGACATGAATGGTGTGAATATACTTTTTATACAACTGGAGATATGAAAAATTGTGCTCTATTATGTAATATGAATTGTAATTCATTCTGCTGTCATATATAGCAATTAGAATAAAAAATAAAGAACCAAAGGCTTAGAAATAATAACAAGGCTTTCAAATAGTTATGAGAATGTTTTAATGGACCAGTGATCAACTAGGACTACTTCTTGCCAAATAGTTGATAGCTTGCAAAGGCCACTTACAAATTTGGATTCAGAGACTTGGCTGGATTTCTTTACCAGGGGCCACAAATCTGTTGATAAATCATTCCTTGGTACCAATTCCTAAAGTCACTTTCAGTCACTTCATGAAACAAGCTCGTTTAACACCACATATTCTCCCTAGTGTTTAATAAGCTTCAGTATCATTCCTCTTATTTAATTTTCTTCTCCTGCATTAAACTCTAGAGACACAACAAACTTATGCCAACACGTCTCAATAGAATTCCTTAAGATCATCTTTGGGTGATAAAATCCAAGGCACTAGTCCCTCATGAACTATTATTACGTGCTCAATTGATTAGCAGTCTGGCCATATAATTACTTTTATCTCAATAGATTTGGTTAGTTTCTTGTTTTCAAAAGAGTTTGCACCTCTCATAATTTCTTAAGTTAGGTACAATGAGATGTATCTTGGATTTTTATTGAGAATAAGGTTAAAGAGAGAGAGAGAGAGAGAGAGAGAGAGAGAGACAGACAGACAACCTTAGACTCTTTCTGGGTTGGAAATTGGTACCCAGAACCTGAAAGATGACACTGGAGATTGGAATTCTACAGAAGGTGATATTGAATAATATTTTATTTGCAAAAACTATGACTTTGGGTCTTGTAGTTGATTACTATTGTGTCGCCTCATAAAAGAGGAAAGAAAACAGGTATCTTTAAGCTTCTAAAAGCAAACCTGGTAGTATGCCAATTAAAAAATTAATCAGTGGATTTGGATCACAGTGGGATCAAACACCAAAGAAATGGCCTTCAGAGTTTAGATAGGATGAATGTTGACCTACTTACCAAATAGGCAGTACACCGTTCTCTATCACCAGGCCACATTCTGTGTGCTCACTGTACCTTCTGAAGTTGATAGCAGACAGTCCTACCATGACCATGATAGCCTTTGCCTTTTACATGCTTGACTTCCACACCTCCCACTAAACAAAGGCCCCAAATCTGTTCTTTCTCTTTCTGTCCATTTGAACAGAATCACAAGGGAGCATCCACGAAATGACGAATCCACTTCCCCTTCCTCTAGCATTATTGATCTCCTTTCCTAAGCCAAAAGCAAAAATGGTAACTGCCTTATATTCCATGTATAAGTGAAATATGAGACCCTCACCAATCCATTTAGTTTCTCAAAACATCTTCTATTCATCCTCTTGCTACTGTGTTGGTCACTTAGTCCCAGAGGGATTGCTGCACCTTCCACTGTCGACTCCCCACTCTTGTTGGACGTAGAGCAGCCTCTCAGTGCTTCATGCCTTACATATCTCTTTGCTTCCAGGCATCTTGAGACTTCAGGGGAAGGACGCGATGACCAACCTGATGGAAGATTCACTAAGCTCCCCATGGTCCTTTTTCTTCTTTCCAAACTCTTTTTCTGGTCTTCATACTAAAAGTTCTGGAAGGTGCCCATAGATGAAATCTGTCCTATGCCAGGTAGGCTGACAATTTTGAAGACGCTTTAATTATATTCCCCCACAAAAAAACACATTAGAACAGAGGTTTTCAACTTCAGTTTACATGAGCATAGGCACAAGAGTTTGTTCCAGGTTCCTGGAACCCACCCCTAGAGTTTCTGCTTCAGTAGATCTGGGTTTGGGTCTAAGGAGCTGCATTTCTACTGTTTTCAAATGATGCTGATGCTGCTGTTCCTAGACTCACACTGAGAAACACCATCTTAGATTGTTCAAGAGTGGCACTGCTTATTTATTATACCCCTCAGCCATCTTCATGGGATGATAACAGGCTTTTTATAAGAGAGGTCCCCCCTATGCCTTAGAAGGCACTTGTCCTTGACCCATAGATAACGACAGAACACGGAAAACAGAGACTTAAGTATGAAGTAAAAGAATTCATAGAAATCTTAGCTCATGTTTGTAGATAAGGAGACAGATTAATGAAAAAAGGAACTCTTTTTTAAGCAAGAATAAAGTTATTTTTACAAAATAAGAAATATTTGGGGATAATACATCAAATGGTACTGTATTCTTTAGTTAGTACTTGGTTGTAAGATAAAGTAGCTCAATTACAGGCTTAGTTACACATGATAGAGAACTGTGGCTCCTAGATTCAGTTAGAACACTTGACACTACTCAGGCTGTTTACATCAAGCAGTTCATCTGAGAGGAATAGGCACAAACCATGGTTAAGCTGCTTGGTTTAATTTTTTAGCACTTGAAAAAAAATGTACAGTAGTTTGAACACTCAGTCTTTGCAAACCTCCATTGAGGTCAAAGATTTCATTCATACGTACAAAATTAGTTTACAAATTTTTTGGCAATTTCATCTTAGTAACCCGTTTTATCCTATTGCCATTGTCCCAACCATTGAAAAAGTTTACAATAATTTACATAGAAATATTTTCAAAGTGCTTAAGAATAGTGATTGTTCTCTGGGATATTTACAGGTGGCCTATACAATGTATGTACAGGTGGTATACACTATAGCACAAGTTTCATTGCTGGAATATGGCTTTCTAGGGAAAGTGCATATTTGGCCAGAGGTGGCAATACTGTCTAGAAATTCAAGGGTTACAGATACTTGGTAACCACATCCAAAGCTGAAGTAGAATGTGGACAAGAATATTTACAGAAGTCATATAAAAATGGTCAAGTACACAAGCTTGATCCACGCAAAGAGATCTTGATAATCTTCCAGACAGGAGGAAGAGAGACTTCAGCTGCTGGCTTGGTTACCATTCCGAAGTGGGGCATTATTGGTTTATACCTTAGAGGTTGAGACTGGTCTCAGAAGTCAAGCTAGATCATCATCTGTGCTTACAACTGATATCTGTGGAAAAATAAAAATGTTTAGAATGAACTTGGTGATTACTCACTGGTTGTAACTGTAGTCTTTAAAACGGGCTTTCTTTGTTTTTGGGCTGGTCAGAGACCAAAGTTCTTAGTAGGAAAGCCAGGTACAAAACATGATTAAGTTGTAGCATTCATGCATTTAACTTGAATTAAACTCCTAATCTGAAAATTTGAAATTCAAATTGCTCTAAAATCTGGAATTTTGTGAGCACTGACATAACACTGCAAATGGAAAATTCCACACCTGACCTCGCATGAGAGGATTGCAGTCAAAATGAACACACGCTAAGAATATTGCACAAAATTACTTTCAGGCTATGTGTATAGGGTATACATGGGATATAAATGGATTTTGAGTTCAGACATGGGTCTATCCCCAACATAATCTCATTATGAATATGAAGATATTCCAATTTCTGAAAAAACTCAACATTCAAATCAGTTCTGATTTGAAGTATTTTGCATAAGGAATACTCAACTTATACATACTTGGTAGACAGTGAAAATAGCATTATTTATTCTGGCTTTTCTACATAATGGTCATAATAATGCTTGGAAAATAGTGTGAGAAGACACATGTATGCCCTGAATTGACCATTACCTGTTTCACCAGAAAGCTTGGAGGGGAGTACTCAGCACATGTTTTGTTCATCCTGTTCCCTAAGTTCCCATAATGATATGGGTTCCACCTGAAGAACAAGTGAGTGACTCTACTGCTGAAGGAAAAACTAGCTATACTTGGTGGAATGGGGTACTTTATAAGTAAACCATCTAGTAGTATTTTGGCTAAGTGAATCTTACCCAATACCCTGACTTCAAGTCATTTTCCTTATAGGTAATCCCTATGCATGAGTTACTAATTTGCTTTTAGGTGTCCAGTAGGCAAGGAGCTACTTGGTTTATACTAATATTTACATGTCATTTCTGTAACTAAAAATATCTCAAATATTATAGTGATGACCTTGGGTTGACCTGCTTGCTATCCTGCATGGGTGAGATGCTTATTAACTTATTAACTTACAAGCTAGTCTGTCTGATATCTGGTAGTGGATGAAATTTTTGGTGGTTCCATGATCCTAAGGCCCTTCTTAGCCTAGATAGCTTGAGCTCAAGTTTTGGTCTCCTTTTCAAAAAAGTCTCACTTTAAGCTATGGTATAGAAAGACACAAAGCTGACTTACTGCTGGGTACGTGTGTCCAACAGAAGCACTGTGTCTACCAATGTCTATTGAGAGGTCCTCTTCAGTGGTCTTCAAGTACACAGGGTTATCAAAGTTCATGCTTTTCATGTTCTTGTGTTGCCAATTCCTCCACATCAAGTAGCCACCTACTGCCGCCATCACCAATAGCACTGAAAAAGTTAGAGGGTGACTAAATGAGGTTTAGTTTCAGAACACATAGGAAAGGCAATATTCAGGGATCCATGATAACCAACTTTAATAAGTTTCATGTTTTAGGGAACTGGGACAACTAGAAATTGGAATATATATGAGCCAGGGGTTTGAAATAAGATCACCTTAGTGGGTTGTAGTATTCTAAACACTAAGCTAGTCACAACCATCCTTGCAAGTGTAGAGTCCTGGGCCCCACTCCCAGGAAGACTAAATTAAAATTGCAGAGGCTTCTGGAGAGCTATTCAGGGGTTCTGGTGTGTTAGGCAATGTTGAAATCCAATAATCTAAGACAAAGAGGCCATTTATGCAAAGTGCCTTAGAATTCATATGTCTTATAACAGCTTCATAGGACTTATAGAATATAAACTAAAAGTAGTTAAGGATTCTCTGGGTTTCTCCTGAAGAAAGAATTTAAGCATTTGTGCATCTCATCTGCATAAAGCATTATGCATATTTCAAAGGAGAATAGAACAGAACTCTTATTAAAGGGACTTATTGTGAATGAGGATAACAGGCTAAAGTAGAAACTCTAAAGTAGAAATCAATAAACACCTTTCATGAAATTATTGAACATCAGCATTTCCTGTTACTGTACTAAGGAAACCAATGTATAGAAAATATGGACTCTGTGTGTACCAGGTGGGGAAAGAGAGTAAGAATAAATCAGTGTCACAAATTCTATGGCAACCTAAGAGGCCATGGGAAGGAGGCTCTAAATAAATGAGCACTGTTGTTCATCAGGTGTCTAAGATGTTCATCAGATCTCCAAGTGAAGGGAATCTACTTACAGAGAGGAAGGATGGCCCAGGCAGCAGATGTTCCTTTTGGGGGAACACTGACCTCTGATACTGCTGTGGTCACATTGATCCCTATAGGAGAATAAAATCAATCAGTTTACAAGAGTCTGATTTCAGACTTGGAAATTTACCCATCAGGTAGAAGCCTCATACCTTTGCAACTAAAATCAATGTTTAGTAACTAAAATAATGGAATACCAGGAACAACTCTGGCCTAGGAGTATTTCAGTCACAGGCTGGAGGAGCCATTTCACTCATAATTCTATAATAGAAGCATTACTAAGTCAGGCAGATCTAGGATATGCAGGTTCTAAGTCTTTAGAGTTTAAATATAGGTTACCAATCAGGGGCAGAACTAGTAGTTAAAGGCTGCATTAATTATGTACACTATGGATATAAAGAGTGTGGCTGTTAGTGGAGATTAACAGTTTGTAGTACTGAACCGAATACCTCCAGGAACTAGTCCACTCGTTGGTGGAATTTCTGTTGTGTTGGCATCTTTTGTCTCACTGTAAGCCACAGTAGTTGAAGTACCTGGATTACAAAAACCAAGAACCTGGGTAATGCCCAGGCTCCCAAATGGCTAGCAGTTTACTGTAGACAAGCCATGCAAGAGGTTATTGTAACATCAAGTGAAATAGATGTATGTGTCCAACTTGAGAGAAATAGTAGCCTTCATGCAAAAACAGAAGTACATGAAGCTTTGGGTAGAACAGTTTGCATATGGAATACGACAATTCAAAAAGATGCACAGCCACACTTAACCCCCGTCAGTAATACCCAGGCTCCTGGAAGTTGCAAGATGTGTTCTCAAGATGCTCTGATGTACTAGGCCTACCAGATGGTCCTGCAGCTATTTTCTCAATAAAGTCTGTCATGACCCAGAATTAAGCTAATAAAAGCCTCGTCATATTCCTTGCTCACAACAAGCAAGTTTAATTTGTTACTTAATCAAAAACCAAGAACAGAGGATTAACATGCAAGTTCAGTATGAGTTTAAACCAGTGTTACCCACTGAGGCTACAGGTTTCCTGTAACCATGGACTTACTTAAGAATAATTGCAGTGTGCCTTCTGTGGAGGAAAACATTAAGACTTTAATTACCTTCCAGTTGACTAGCTCAGTACTGGTACAGTGTTAACTGGCACAAATTGGTATGAGATACATTGACACCTTGTCACCTATAAATTTATCTAATGTTGAAATAGGTTACAGGTCAGTTCTGAAGTTCTGAGGTGAACATGTGGCATGCAACAGTAGCACATGTCTGATCTATTTCAAGGGTTAGGTAAAACAGAATTCTTAAAATCCAGGCCAGTTTTTATAGATAGTGTCTTATTCCTTTTGTATGTACTGCTTGTGGTCAAAATGCAAAAAGCCTTACTTTGGCACTCTCGTCCATTTTCCTCTAGATTGTAGCCATTGGGACAGGAACAGGTATACTTTGGAGAGTGATCATTAATCTGTGGTGCTGGCAGGCATAGGTATTCACATCCTCCATTCTCCATATCTTCTTCACACCAATTTTTACCTAGTCAAAAATAAAATCCTTTAGAATAGGAATTCAAGTGCTTTCTTTCTCCATGGAGCTTAAACTTGCTTACTCTGTCAAAGCTTCAAGACCAGTAAATGAATAGTATCAGGGCACAGGCAGCATGCTCTAAGGACACCAGATTCTAAGAGGTTCCTTGAGTGCAGAATATGACTTATGTCTTCAACAGGCAGGTCTTGGAAGGAGGCAAGGAAGGGAGATGAAGTTCTCACTGTCTGTCTGTCTTGCAGCGCTGGGAATTGAACCTTGGCATTGAACATGCTAGGTATGTCCCCAGCTAGGTATGTCACTATTTGTCCATATCAGAAGAAGACCAAGTATGTTCTCCTGGTTTTACCTTGACTTGCTCTTATACAGTGGAAGGAAAGTTTGAGTTTTCATTTAGATAGATGAGCTGAGCATTTCAAACAGGAGAAAATATGGAATATGGCCAGATGTGTTTGAGGATCTGCACAATCTTATGTGTCACAGGAGGAAGGTAGGTGTTATAGGTTGAACTGCATCCCTGTCTAAAATTTGTATGTTGAAATCCTCACCTCCAGGACCTGAGTATGTGACCTTAGAGGCAAGGCCTTTACAGAGATAACCAAGCTGAGGTCATCAGGTGGTCCCTCATTCGATATAACTGTGTCCTTCTTAGAAGAGGAAATTGAGACATAGGCTTGTGAAGAGGAAAGATGATGTGAAGAGAAGGGGAGAAGATGACCATCTATAAGCCAAGGAAAAAGACCTGGGGCAGGTCTCCCTCTCACATCCCTCAAAAGGAACCAACAAGATGCTAGCATCTTGATTTTTGGATTTAAACCTCCAGAACTGTAAGAAAATAAATTTATTGTTTAATAAACCCAATCTGGGGTACTTTGTTAAAGAAACCCCAGAAAACTAGAAGTAGGGAAAGTTTGTGGCACAGAAGCTACTATGGAGACTGGTGCAACAGGCTTAGCAAGAAGGACCAAAGGGGTATGGAAGAATTAGAAACACAAGGTCTGACACTGAGGGTTGAAAGAAAGATGAGGTGACATTCTGAAGCCATTTCCCTAAGAAGGAAGAAATATCAAGTGTGAGGTATCTAAGGTAGAGTGCAGGAGGGCAAAATTTTCATTTCATTTTATAGAAAGTTATAGAGTTGCTCAAGAGCTGCTGACTCCCAGTAGGTTGTGGGTCAGAAGTGACCAATAAGTGACCACTAAGGACTTGTTTCTCTAGGTTACCTGAGGGCTGCACAAGTTCATGATAGACAATGATGTCTTGAGCATCATTAAGGTTGTTGACTAGAGTAGCCAGCTCTGATCCAGTGAATTTATTGGCACCATAAACTGCTTCATTTTCCCCATCTATCCAGTAGACGCGATCCTGAAACAGAGCCCCAACAATTAGCATGCACACCCAGGATTAATAGAAGTCAATTATTTAGGGTCATCATTATTTACTGGCTATCTAATGGACTAAGGTTATTGAATGCTGCTCTGGGACATTAGATGTAAAACTGTAAGAGAAGCAAGTTCAGGTTTCTTGAAGTGCTTTGAGGAATTAGTTTCTAATTTGTACCAGCTTTTAAATGAAAGCAATTTTTCAAGATGTCCTATACTCTCCTGTCCTTCCCCATCCTTGTTTTTTCTCATCCAAGTGCTATAGTGACTCAAAGGTGGAAACTCAAATGTGAGACACATAGCTTACCTCAAATATTGTTAGTGCAAGAGGATGAGCCAGGAACTCCAGAGACTTCAGTACTATCCTCCGGTCTTGGCCATTCAAATCCACACTGGACAACATGTGCAACTTGGAATCAAGCCAATAGAGGCGGCTTTTTATAAGATCTAGGTAGAAAGATTGACACCATATGATACATAATTATTGCCCTGGCTTACAATTAAAATATCTGAGGAATCTAATATTCTACTTTCATGGTTCCTTCTCCAGCAGGGGTTCTTTTCTTAATGGTTCCCCAAAAGCTTATGAAGAAGCATACAGAATCTGTATTTAGATTCATTTGGGGGGACAAATGAAGACTCTCAAAGTAACTGACTTAAGAAATGTTACATGATATTTTTTGTTATTGTTGTTTAAGCTACCTAATACTCATGTTGTTTCACTATTATGACAGCCTAAGAATATTGAAGCTAAATGAATATATATTATAAATACATATTAAATATATATATAAACATATATAATATATACATATACACCTATATTTTACACACACACACACACACACACATATATATATATATATATATATATATATACACATACATAGATGTAATGTATTTTAATTTGGATATAATGAAAATATGCATGAAAAATAATGCACATACTTATTTCTACATATGCCTTCTTATATATTCTTTTTCATTTCACATCTGTATTATATCTGTTATTCTGAGACTTAAATATTTCTGTATTACCACTAATCCAAATTTGAATATCCAAATAGTCAGTTAGCAAAACCAATTGACATCCTGTTTATTAACAGAATTTCATCTTCAAAGTCAAAAAGTGGTAAACATATGGATACCTTGTCTTGGAATTTAGCTCATGGTTGACCAAAGAATAGCATGATTAAAAAATGTATTTACTCCTAAAAATAAGGATTGTTGTCTCAAGGTAAAGTATGAAAACTAGCAATTTAAAGTCTATTCAATTGACTTAATTATAACTTTCTACAATGACCATGTTTTTTAAAGTTTACCAATGAATGAAAATGACACATTTAGAATTAAGGAAACCAGCAACTATCAGTCAATAAACTTGTAAAAATCCAAAAATCTAACACAGTTCTACCAAAGTAACCATTATTCCACAAAAATCTCATAAATTTGTCTCTGACAGCAACTTCTGAATGTCACACTTTCTGTCATTTTATATTCAAATAAAAGTGTAAAAGAAAAGAGGTTAGAATTTTATAGTTCTTCTTTAATGAACCAGAAGAAAACTGTTACAAGCCTGTGATTCTAGAAATGCCAAGGCACCTGTGCCCATCATATTCAATAGAAGAATCTCCAAAAGCAAGATTCCCTGAAATCATGTTTCATGTTAGGCCAAATGAACAGCATTATTATTTTGTTAAGTCTACCATTCCATTTGTGTTGTTCAAGTACTCTCATCTAAGTTCCCTCTATAGAGGAAACTAGAAAAGTCATCTGCTGTAATCCAGAATTTACTATGGAGATAAGTGAAAATGCTATGAAGAGAGTTAAATTTGGTGGGTGAGGAGGAAGGACATACACACCAAGCGTAATCCCATTGGGCCACTGGATATCGGCTGTCACCAGCGGACGTCGGTCAAATCCATTCATTCCTGCTTTTTCTATCTTAGCTGGTTCTCCCCAATCTGACCAGTAAACAAAGCTGGGAAGAGGGAGATCAGAATTATGTCTCAGTAGTGAGAAGGAATATAGTGGTATCTTGAAACAAAAGAAATAGAAAACTCTGGGGATTGATTCTTTAGAGACAAATAGTGAGACTTAAGGATTTAATTTATATTCTGGGTAAATCAAATTTCACCCTAAGAATCTACAAGCTCATTAGTAACTGTGGTAATCGGTATCACTCTGACATTTGAGTTTCAGTCCAAAGTCAAGGCTATGTATTTCCTTTTAAAACACTGAATTATCTCAGAGGAGTAAAAGAATACCCTTAAGTTTTATAGTAGGGGCTGGCTGATTATGTTCTAATGATACTTAGTAAGGAGTAATTGTGATTACTTTAGTTAACTTCCTAAGCTACCTGTCTATGTGACTTAGTGGCAATTTAAGGAAACCCCTCAGCAATATGTTTCTAGAGAGGCATTTGTTTCAATTGAACTTTTAAACAACTTGCACTTTGGAAGCCTTCAGGGACTATGGTTTAAAATCCCAGCATTTCATGCTAGTATTTAAGTTCAATAACTTAGAACTAACCCAGCAAAGTTTTCAGACAATGATGATGATGATGATGATGATGATGATGATGAGGAGGAGGAGGAGGAGGAGTATAGAAGCTGGGGGGGCATAAGGTTTAAGTCAGAGCTTGTTCTGTAGTCAAAACCAGAAGTACAGTTTCCCCTAAGGCCACCCAACAGTCACATGTACAGGAGCCAGAAAGAAAGGACGTGCCATATAGAGGGGCCATCCCAAGGTTGCTCCACCGTGGCACCTCGGACACCTTGAACTGGAAAATTCTTTGTTTCTGATTAATCTTGGGATGTATGAGGAAAGTTCCTGATCTAAGCAGATAGCATCCAAAAGACTGACAATGGCAAACATAGAATACGAACCCAGACAATGGGTCGACGGCTATGGAGGCAGGTTCTCGTAAGTCGGAGTTAAACAGGAACTTCCTCTTGGTTCCGTCTAGGGTAGCTACTGAAATAGTCTTAGAAGCCGCATCAGTCCAGTAGATGGTCTTGTACACCCAATCAACAGCAATGGCTGCAGGATTATAGACATTGTCGATCATTTTAACATGTCTACCAACCTTGTCATCAATTGAGGCACTGAAACAGAATAGGTCACAAGAAATTTAAGAGTTTGACACCATTAGAGCCTGGAGAATGGGCTTTCTGCTTATAAAATGGTCAAGGACTTTATTCAGAAAGAACTCTAGTAACACCATAGCTTACCATTCAAATTATTCAACCATGCTTCTCACTCATGCTAAATTAGTAACATTGTAGGTTTATCTAGTTACTGATACATATTCTATATATGTGCAAAAGTTCTAAGTGAAGCTATTTGTTTCACTAGCCATCATCTGAGTTTCTAAGTTCCCACTAAGAATCCCATTAAGAAAAGGCTGCTATATCATTTCTATTTATAGTAACAGTGAACTCAGTGAACTGAGTTCTCAATGAACCATAGAGAAAGGAGAGAAAATATGAGAAATTAAGATGTCATCTGCTACAGTTTCACAGCTTTAGCCACCTTTTACCTTACAACGATTAGTTTCTAATTAAGAATGGACAATAATTTAATAGCTAAAGAATCAGTGTTAGATTTAATACTCCCAGATAATTAGATGCTAGATTGGAGCTAGAGATGAGAGAAACCCCTCCAAACCTTCCCACAGGCCAAGTGACAGTGACTTATGCCCAAAGCCCAGGAACAGAACCGAAAGTTACCTGAAGATGGCCTTTTGGCTGAGATCAGCCCAGAACAGTTTCTGAGCAGCAATGTCAGCATCAAGAGCTACAGTATTTCTTAGCTGTTCAACAAGTTGGATATATTCTTTTCTCTCCAAGCCAATCTTCCTGATGTCTCTTCTATTAGTGAAGATCAGACTTGGTTCTTTGCCTGAAAGATACAAGTCAGGTGGACTAAATTTTGCTGTAAGATGACAAGGTCTTTCTAATTCACCTCCTCCCAGCAGAGGAGCAATTGCAAAGCAACTGTAATACTGAACACCTCGGTAGCCCCTGGTCCAAAGTTCCTGCCCTGGGGACCTGCTGGTGCTTCCTACTGTTTCGGAAGGCGGTCTAGGGTTTAGCATTCCACACAAGGTGGCTAACGAAAGGTTACTTATTTGAATTGCACTTAGTTTCAGAAGCAGAAAGTAAGCAAATATGGTAAGAATTCATGATGCCATATGCAAAAGGAATGACCAAGGCAGACGTGTGAGGAGATGGTCTGCTATGTAACCTAGCCTACTGCACTAGGAGTTTAGTAGCATTGCTCTCCAGTACTATTCAGTTTTGTATTTGGTGTGACTGTTGCAGCCACTGGTTGTACCTTTTATAAGCACTTACTTATAAAGGTACCAGAGCAACACCAGTCCAAGTCCATTTACCTACTGCCTTGCACACGCCAGTGGCAAGATCCATTTGATAGCCACGACTACATTCACACTTGTAACCGCCTTTTAGGTTGATACAAATTTGACTGCAGATTCCCGGATTTTGGCATTCATCAATATCTAGGAGGGAAATTAGAATTAGTCTTGCTGTTCCTATGCCTTGCTAGATGTATTCTGCCCTTTCCCATCTCCCCGGGGGACTAGAATCTCTTCTTCAACTCACCTCCACAGGTTTTCCTATCTATCAGTTCAAACCCAGCTGCACAGTCACATTCGTAGCCTATAACTAGGTCTTTGCAGATATGGGAACATCCACCATTATTTACCAAGCATTCATTGACATCTGAAATAAAAATGTAGCAAAGTCACTTGACAACTTATTCTCAATTGATATTTACCCTACTCACTTAAAATTCAGGCTTTGTGATAACTGTTTAGTTGACTTCACCAGACTCATGATTTTTCTAAGATTTAATTATTTGTTTTATAGTTATGCATCTTAGGGTGGATAGAGGGAAATGGCAACCCAATATCCCTGGCAAGTTATCAGTTAAACAGTATTTAGTCAAGTTTCTCTATTGCCCATCAATTATCCTTTTTTGGGGGGGGGGTATTGGGGATTGAAACCAAGGGCACTTAACCACTGAGCCACATCCCCAGCCCTTTCCCCTTTCTATTTAGTTTTACTTTGAGACAGGGTCTCATTAAGTTGCTTAGGGTTTTGCTAAGTTACTTAATCTGGCTTTGAACTCATGATCCTCCTGCCTAGGCCTCTGAAGCACTGGGATTACAGGTGTGTGCCACTGTGCCTGCCCAGTTATTTTTAAGGGGGCTAAACTACAAATTTGTCTGTCACTGCCTGGATTTTCAAATCATAAAACTTAACCCTCAAGCCTAACAATTCAATTAAATTATAGTTCATTAAAAGTTTAACCAGTCATCATGCAGGATCCAAACAGCATTAGCACTATGGATTGAATCAAACTGCCCACTCTGTCCTTGAGCAACCCCTTCACTTACGACATTCTTTCAGGGGCTCATCACTCCAGTCTCTGCAGTCCTGCTCCTGGTTACACACTTTGCTGATGTCTATACATTCCCCACTTCTGCACTTGAATTTTCCAGGGCCCAAGCACTGATTGACTACAACAAGAAACAGAAGAGAGGTTCCATTAGTGGATCTAAGCTAAGCAATCCCTTGCCTAACCAACCCCCCAAAACCCTTACCATTTTTGCAGTTGACTTCATCAGAACCATCAACACAGTCTCGGATGCCATTACACTGCCTGCTGCCATGGATACAGCCGCCATCCTCACATTCAAATTGGTCAGGTCTGCAGGTTCGAGAAGCTACAAAAGGAGGAAACACAAAGGAATGAAGCTGGTCAAACTATCCCCAGTTGATATATGGAAGAAAACTGACCATGCCCTGCAGATAAGAAAGCTACTTACGACAGTTGACCTCATCACTACCATCTTTGCAGTCGGGGTCCCCATCACATCGCCATTTCTTGTGGATGCACTCGCCAGAGCCACATTGGATCTCGCTGGCCGGGCACTTGGTGTGTATAACAGGCTGGCGGCCACACTGCTCAAGGGACTCATCTGACTGGTCCGAACAGTCTGCATCATCATCACATACCCAGCTAATGGGGATGCAGGAGGAGGTGCTGCACTGGAACTCATGGGCACCGCAGGTAGGTGGGGCACAGTCCAGCTCATCGCTGCCATCATTACAGTCATCCTGGCCATTGCACACAAAGTTCCTGGAGATGCAGCGACCACTGGAGCAAGTGAACTCATCTGGGCTACATGTTATGTTGCCTAATAAGAGAGGAGATGCCCCATTGAAAGCACTTCAGCATTGCTCTTTTGACAAGACTCTTATCCAAAAAAGCAACTATATTGATTTTTGATCATTAATTTTAGCTTCCAAGCTTAACTTAAAAGCTATAGCTGAGTTATATTAAGAATAAGTTCTTAAAGTTTGAAGAAACAGTCTCACCATGTTAAAAAAAGTATTCAGGCATACTATGAATAAGTTAAGAACAGAAATAAAGGACCAAGAAAATAGTTGAAGACTAGAAATTATTTTTGACATGAGAACCACAATTGACTCTTAGTGGGACAGGGATCAAAAATTTAAACTGTTGTAAGAGATTTCATTTTGGAAGGCAGAGATTAAATTACACCTAAATTAAATTATAATGCATGTCAGGGCCAGGTTACACAGCATGCATTATGTAAACAGGTAACACAATACAGTAAGCATTAAGACATTATCACCAAAAAGAAGTAAGCCATACACCACTATACATTGTTTCTTCTTCTTCTTTTTTTTTTTTGGTCCTTTAAATGAGGATCAACAATAATAAAGCTTAAACACTTTCAATTTTTAAAAGTCATTGCTATGGCTAGAAACACAATCTGGCAACAAGGTATGCTAATAATGATAAGCTAATCATATTAGCCAGTTTGTACTTTGACTTAAAATTCCTGCCAAACAGATAAAGGTCACAATTTGGTGGTGATTGGAATGGAGACCACGACTCTCTTGGGAAGCAATGTCTCAATTTGTGAGGGAAACACTTGGCAGCTCCAGGGCTTACCAGTGTATAAAGCTCTGAATTCTAGGATTGAACACTAAAACTCATTGGACTAGGTGCAGTGGCATTGACCTCAGGAGGTGACTTCTCCATGCAGGTCTGGCATTTCAACTGCCAGGGCCTGTATACTCCCTGGTCTAGTACTGCATCAGTAGGCCACACTCATCAGACTCAGGAGCTGTAGGTCTTAGAGGCCATGTAAAAAGGGCGGTAGGTTGAAAGAACACTCAAAGCAATGTTTGTTCAACCTAGAGATTTTCCCAGGGCCTCACCTGTAACATGTAGTATTTTATAGATTTTCCAAGAACTGAAACATGAAAGAATAGGAAAAAGAGATAGCTTTCAGAGATAGGAACTGTGACAGGAGATAAGGATTGGGTGGAATTTTCTTCAGGAATTTCCTAGCAAAAATGTTAATTTATGCCTCTCTGCCACCTTAACTTTGGGAAAAATTGTAACAGAATCTAGCCTGGGGATAAAAAATGCTTGTATAATACTCAAGGAATTTTTTTTAATTCCAATAAGCCAATCTAGTTAAGACCTATGAATGTGTTTGCTGACCCTACTCACCTTACAGTTTTATTGAGCCAAAGTGAGGAAGGTCTATGAATTACTATAACAGAGCCAAAAGCTCACATGATTGCTGCTTCCCTGAGCTACTGCTACATATAAATGCCCTGTTACCTTCTTATTTCTATTTTCCTAAAAGAAATACCACACGATAGCTAGTTACCATGAGAATGGCTTTCAGAATTTTAGGGCAGTTATGAAAGACAAGGATTGAGCAGATAGTGAAGTCACTGAAAAGTGAGTCAATGTAAGTCTTCATGCTTAATTTCACTTCCCTTGCCCACCCTTCTTTGAGGAAAAGGGTCTTTGGGATATGCCACTGCACACTGATCTTCTTACCACAGTTTTCTTCATCTTCTCCACTGTCACAATCATTTTCACCATCACATCTCCAGGACACTGGGATACACTGAGTAGAACGGGCGCCACAGCTGATTTCATTTATGCGGCATGTTCTCATATCTGTTGATGATATACAGTCTCAAAAGAGCCTCAAAACCGATCAGTGCAAAGCTGTGCTCCTGCACTGCCTGGAAGTGTAACACCTGTACCTTGGTGGCCTGGCACACTGGGCAGATCCTTCGCCAGCTCTATTCCTTAGAAGCCGTGCCAACCAATGCCACCTGGCAGTGCACCTGAGAACCTTGACCATGTCACTCCTTCAAGGCTCCATGGTGTGCTCAATTCTGGATTTTGTTTTACTTGGCATGGTTAGGTTGATTGGCTGGCCTGTTCCTAGGCCATATTTATCTCCTGGATATGAAGTGGGCATACAGATACTGTCACCTAACCCCACTTCATCAAAGGCCAGATGGGCTAATACCTATGAAACCGTCCATGGCCTAGGCTCCCTGATAAGCCTCCATCACAGTATCCATTGGATCTACATCTTGCAAAGTAGGAATAAGCCCTAATTCTTGACTTTACCAGGTTGTCCTTCACTAACATTTGAGGCTGAATCTTTGTAAAGCCTGTCTTGAACTCATCTGCTTTAACTAATATCATAATCATTCTCCTCGCTTCATGCCTAAAAAATTGTGAGTCTCAGCATAAGTTGTTTTTTTTTTCCCCCATCATCATATTCTGGACCTAAATTTTGTTCATGTTGATCCTTCCTTTTTCTGTGTCTGCAGATCTCTGCCTTACATGAATTCTAAGACTTTCTTTACCTTGACATTCAAACAATGCCAATTATATGATCACAAACCATCATCCTCTATGGTCTTAGACTTTCCCCTGAATATCAGCCTACAGACAAAGATGTACATTTGCATGTCTATGATGTTTCTTTAAGAACAAGCTATAAGGTCCCTGCTTAGCAACTACAAGTGACAAGTTTGTTAAAAGTCATGAAATCACCGGATTGCTAGTCACCTTGCCCCTTCAGTAACAGCTTTTCTTTCATAATATGAAAAGCTGTGCATCTAAAAGCTTGGCCCACAGGGAACCCTCACGTCTTGACTTAGCTTCCAGGACCAAAGTACCATCTGCTCAGAGTCATTATTATCAAGCATTTGAAAATCTATGCACCTAGTCAAGGAGTTCTTAATCAAATCTGCTGGCTTCCATCTTAAGTGTTCAAGAGTGAAGCTACCCAAGAGAATGTCAGTCTTGTTCTTTACAGGAGACTGATCAACTGTTAATAACTTCAATGACCTTGGAGTCAATTGACCTAAACTTTAAGGCAGGCAAAGGAAAATGAATACCAAGTAGTAGATTAAGCATTTTTTTTTAAAAAATTATGAAACACAAAACATCTTGGAAGAGTTTAAATCTGAAGCAAGTCACACTCACGGCACTGTTCTGGGCTTTCGTCAGAACCATCTTCACAGTCTGGATCCCCATCACACTGCCACCGGTTGGGAACACACTGGCCATTGTTGCACACAAAGTCAGACTCTGCACATGTCTTCTTCACTGCAAAGTTCATTCACAAGTTAAAGTTGAAGCCACTCACCCAAGACCCCGATCCTATCTTAGAGCCCCAATTACATTTTGATATATTTCCTTTAAAAGTTAATCTGAGGAGGGTGGAGGATGGGAAAGGCAGCGGAGCACAACAGACACTAGTATGGCAATATGTAAATCAATGGATGTGTAACTGATGTGATTCTGCAATCTGTGTATGGGGTGAAGGTGGGAGTTCATAACCCACTTGAATCAAAGTGTGGAATATGATATGTCAAGAAATTTGTAATGATTTGAACAACCCACAATAAAAAATTAAAAATAAAAAAAAATAAAATTAAAAAAAAAAGTTAATCTGAGTTGATGGATGCTCAATTGCCAACATTCAGACAACTTTGGAAGACTCATAATATATTTTTTCAGATGAAGGTGTTCATTTGAGAAACTTGGATGATACCAAATTCAAGGAAAGACAAACTTTGTTCATTGTCTTTCAGGCCAGGGACACCTTACAATGAACTTCCTGCCTGTTTGGAATGCTTAGATTAACTAATATTTGTATTCTCTTCATGAATTTCTTCCAAATCATTTGTGTACTGCATAAGTGTCTTGGTTCAAGCCCACTTTCTTTTGCTATAACGGGATACCTGACACTAGGTAGTTTGTAAAGGAAAGAAATATATTTTGGCTGGAAGGTGGCAGTCCAAGAACATGGCACCAGTATCTGCCCAGCTTCTGGTCAGGGCCTCAGTAGAAACATGGAAGGACAAGTGGATGTATGTGGAAAAGGCAAAATACAAGGGGCATCCTTGTTTGTAACAATCTGCTCTCTCAGTAACTAACCCAGTCCAGGGAGAAAGGCTCTGTTTTCTCTTAATGACCTAAGTCACTTCTTAAATGTCCCACCACATCTCAGCACGATTACACTGGAAATAAAATTTCAGCATGAGTTTCGGAGGAGTTTCACACCACAAATAAGGACAAGAGTCCTTACCAGATACTAGATCTGCCAGGACCTTGACCCTGAGCTTCACAGGCTGCACAACTGTGAGAAATATGTTTCTTTTGTCTATGCCACACAGCCTATGGTATTTTTCTTATAGCTAAGACACTGGTCTAGGGCATCTCTTCATAAAACATGTTTTAGTGTGTGGATAGAAGGTGAAGCCCCAGTGTTGAATACTGTCACCCTTTTTGGTATATAGGGGACAAGGAACTCATCCAATAGAAAAGGGAGAAAATTTAAAGGGAACTATGACAAGAGCTATTTAAAATTCAAGGGAGAAGATATTTTCACCTTCCCTGTCAAGGGGTGGTGTCACATCAACCTGCTAAAAGTCATTGAAGCTGCCAGAGCTAATTCCCATAGTTTACTGCTGGTGTCAAAATAGCCCAAGGCAAGGGGTCAGTCCTATTAATTCTTCCTAGGGCAGGTCCTTCCTCTATGCTTAGGATTATAATGCAGTTCACTGTTCAAGGGGTCACTGTTAATTATGTCAGGAAAATAAGCATGAAAGACTATCCTAAGCAAACCAGGTAGCTTGGTCACCCAAACACAAATGAGCCACAAAGTATGAAACTGTCTTGATAAAGTAGCCAGACAGGATGCCCACAGCTTTTCTTTCTTAGGCTATATTCTTTCCTTGCCTAAGTTCCTATACTTTCTACTTGAGTTTCCTTTTTTTTGGGGGGGGGGTGGGTTGGGGGAGGACTACCAGGAATGGAACCTAGAGGTGCTTAACCACTGAGCCACATCCCCAGCCCTTATTTATTTATTTATCTATTTTGAGATAGAGTCTCACTAAGTTGCTTAGGGCCTCATTAAGTTACTAAGGTTGGCTTTGAACTTGCGATTCTCCTGCCTCAGCCTTCTGAGCTGCTGGGATTACAGGTGTATGCCACTATACCTGGCCTGAATTTCCATTTTAAAACATTCTTCTCTAATAAGTATACTATGCTTGTGAATCAACTAAAAGACCACAATTTGCCAAAAGTTGGAAAGGGACCACTTCAAGACAGGGGCTTAAGCAATGTAAAGGTCTCAGTATTTAGGGCTTACCCTGGGGCCACTCTAGTTAAGCCTAAGATATTGTGAAGTGGGGCTATAGTGACTATAGTCAATTTCTAACACTCAAGATGGGTTGAAGAATTATAGTAATCCAAAAAGGATTATTCATCTCCTTGAGTTAAGTAGCTATGGAAATAAGAAAAGCCATATTAGCTTAGATTCACACCTATTTCTAAAATCACCTTCACAGAGAAGCCCCAGTGTTAACACATTCAGTGCTCTCTGAGGCCCACATTCTCTGCAGTTTGGGAAGAACCCAGAGTCAGCAGGGTTAATTGGTATAATTCAACCTATGATATATTTCAGAATTTGCAAAAGAGGCAGTAGGGGAATGGCCATAAAGAGAGGACATGATTTCAAGAAGTAGAAAATGTCATGACAATATGAAAGACTGGCTGTGGAACAAAGTGTCACACAAAGATACATAGGGACGAACAAACTGTTGAAGAGTTCATCTCTCTCCATCTGAGCAAACCCTGGCCAGGGATGTGGAATAAAGAAAAGATATTCAAAGCTGGGCATAGTGGCACATGCATGTGACTCTAGTAACTTAGGAGGCTAAGGTTGGAGGATCCAAGTTTGAGGTCAGTCTCAGACAGTAATAAGACCCTAGTCTCAAAATTTAAAAAAAAAAATTTAAAAATGAACCTTAGTGACAGAATACCCCCGAGTTCATGCCTAAATGTAATACTAATTTTAAAAAAGGAAAAGAAAAAAGAAGACATTTGAACTGGACCTTGAGATATGGATGGAAATGTCAATGTGCCACCAGGGAGGTGAACCAGCAGTTACGTACTTAGGGTGTCTCAGTTACTGATTTACCAGCTCAGCCTAACATTTAAAGAAAATGAGTTACTGGGGCCAATAGAAGCACATAACTCATGGAGTCTAAACTCAAGTTGACTAAATATGCTAGTTGTCATGCTTGAAAGAAAGAGCTCTGCTGAAATTGTAATCAAGTTCCCTATCAAAAGGTTAGACAGGAGAATCAGGAGGTGACTTTGGAAATTTTAAGTAATTATGTCGCTTTTTCCTTACATCAGGAAACATTTTGGAATAAGCAATCAGAGCTTCCTGAGCGAAGTTTCCACTTTCTTTCTCTTCTTTACATCTGTGAAACAGCAACAGATTCTGTAATATATTTAAGTTCTCCTACTTCAAATGATCTTGATTCACTGTACTGTTCATCTACCTTCTTCCTTGACCCAAATCCTCCTAGTATGGCTAGTAGAGGGTATTTTAGGAAAAAAACAATAATTATCCTAAAATGGCCCAGGCTGGATTCTACTGAGTCAGATGATAAAAGAAGACTTCTACAACATGAAGAAATTAATTACTTTTTAAGAAAAAGCAATGGGTTTTGCCCAATATACAATTAGAATAAGGGAAGAATTGCTCCTTAGATCAAAAGAACAGTTGAAAAGAATGAGGTCTTTCTCATGAGATATTTGTTGAGAACTGTATTACCTAGGTAACCTAGAAATAGCATGGAACTTAATGTTTTGTGGAATAGATTAAAATCTTAGTGTTAAATGCAAATGATGGAAAAGTGTAGCACAAGAGAACTATTCTTGGTCATGAGACTGGAGATAATTTTTTTATCCAAGATTGCAGAATGGACTTTCTATGCTTTCAAAAGAGCTGCTAATCTGCACACAGGCATGAAAACACCCATGATATTGCATCAGAAAGAGCAAGCATAAGACAATGTTTATAACATTTTAGTAATGTTGCATGAAGAAGAAGGTAAGAGCATTACAAGATGGCAATTGAAGACCCTTGCTTAGCTTCTGTTTTTCTTCTGTGTTTCTGGTGTGCATAATAAACAACTGTATACAGTATCTCTTAAAAGGTAAATGACAATGGTAGTAACCAATATTTGCACACAAAACTGCTTCAAGATTTTTACAACACAAAAGAAAGGGTTCAAAAAGGAAACTTCAGCCATGTACTTTAGGTACCTAAATGTGACCTTGATATGTAGCTCTCAGATGTTCTGTTTGACGTGAAGTCATGTAGACCGCACACACAAGCATTTTTCGCAATGATCTTTGGATACTGATCAATGGTATGATGTTATATCCCCATTCTCTTGGGGAGAGAATGTCTTCCGCCCTGCTTAATGCTTTAGAATCAGCAACTATTGTGGGAACAGGATTAGAAATGAATCCTTATCTGATCTTTCGTCTTTGCTGGCTTGTAGTTTCTATGCCCAGGGTTAATTACCATGCTAAAACTTTGGTGGATTTTTGTAGTGTCCGTGACTTGCTTTCTTTTCTGGGATCAGAGCCGTTTGAGAATTTTTAAAAAGTTACTTCTAAGCAACCTCTGTTTGCCTCTATTTCTGGTCCTCCCTTCCCTTTCCTCAGCTTCCTATGCCCCATATGCCAGATCTAAGATAAACCAGGTCCTGTCATCTGAAAGGGACTCCACTTTATCTTCAACATTCCATACTCAAGTTGATAACCCCGTGTCAAACACTCAATTATGTTCCTGTGGACCAGGAAGTATAGATTCTTCGGACTTGGATTCAAAGCAATTCTTTTGTGTGGATTTTATTTGCAGAATCTCAACACACTTGTAGAAACTAAGATACCATCATCGCATTTCAGTAACATGCACGAGTCCAAGTGAGGTGACAAATGAGGCGACTGAGCTCTTCACTTACCACAGTTCTTTTCATCACTGCCGTCGACACAGTCTTCATCTCCATCACATTTCCACAGCAGGGTTATACAGCGGCCATTGGTGCACTGGAATTGGGAGGGCTCACATTTGGCTTTTCTGCCTAGAATAAGGAAGAAACATTTAGCAAAGCCAGAGTAGAAAGTTAGAAATACAAGTTACCTAAAATCTAGGAATGGGGACCCTAGAGGGACAGCTTCAGACTCAGGGGCCAGCACGGGATGGGCCTTTAAGACAGTGACTGACAATAACTGAATTCTCAGTTGGGCACAGGCTAATACCAATCGCTAGATTCCTAACCTTTCTTGCAGGGATATTAAGTTCTGGCTCATGGAATGCCAATAGAAATGGAAGAAATGGAATCAAGTGCTGCATGATGTTTTGGTCAAAATGGAATGCAGATTAGGACAGTGGTCTCAAAAAAACTAAACTGAAGTTAAAGAATTCCTATTGCCAGAGAATACATAGTTGAAAAATAAGGGACAAAAATTAGAAGAAAAAGAACCCCTAAGAAAATTCACAGTGAAGGGCTTAGCAGAACCTCTTGCAGACTTAAACAAGCTTCTTAAAAAGTTTGAAAATAGGGACCCCAATACCTAGAGGTTTTCATTAATAAAGCACAATGCTCTGGCGCATTATCTGCTTATAGGCAAATCTATAGTGCAAAAAGGACACAAACCAAGCACACCACCATGGACATATTTCTGAAAAGAGTGACATCGCCTCCAGAAGAGCCCCAGGCAGGTCCTTCAGAAGGGATTCCAGAAGAAGGCTCAGAGGAGGTGACAGCTTCATGCATGTTATTGCCCCTGAAGATTTTCCTGTGGGACAAAGTGTAGAGGTAGAAGACAGGGATACTAATGCTCCTGACCCTGTGTAGACTTAGGCTGATGTGTGTATTTGTATCTTAGTGTTTAAAAAAAAAGTTTAAAAAGTAAAATTTACAAAAGTTTTTGTACATAGAAAAAATTTTATAGAATAAGAATATAAAGAGAATATTTTTGTACAGTGTGTTTGTGTTCTAAGTATTATTACAAAATAGTCAAAAAGTCTAAAAAGAGTTTAAAGGTTTATAAAGCCAAAAAATTTCAGTAAAGCTTAGAGATACAGCATGGTGATGGGGCACCTGCTATATAGTGTGCAGCCCCTGGGTTTCATCCCCAGCATCAAAACCCAAATAACAACAAACAGTTGCAACAAATTATAAATAATTTATTATTGAAGAAAGAAAAATCTTTTCTTATTTTTTTGGAAATTAATGTAGCCTAAGTGCATGGTGTTTACAAAGTCAGCACAGTAATGTCCTGGGCCTTCTCTTCCCTCACCACTCACTCACTGACTCATCTAGAGCAACTTCTAGTCTTGTAAGATCCATTCATAATAAATGCCCTACACAGGTGCACAAGTTTTTATCTTTTATACCATATTTATTTTACTATACCTTTTGTTTTTAGATATACAAACACTTACTATCATGTTACAGTTGCCTACAGTATTCAGTACAGTTCCCTCCTGTACATATTTATAGCCCAAGAACAGCAGGCTACACTGTATTGTTGAGGTGTATAGTAGGCCACCACATCTAGGTTTGTGTAAGTAACTACTCTGATGTCAGCACAGTGATGAAATGGCCTAACATCACAGTTCTCAGATTGTACCTCCATTATTAAGTGATATATGGCTGTATCCTTAAAAAATTAGGGAATCATTTTCCTTCCCTTTATTCCAGCTTGATTCCTAAAAATTGGACACAGTGGCTGGAATAGTGATTTGGGGTCAAAGGAACCAGATGAAGATAAAAGGAATCTAGTTTGCCAATAGTCCACAAAGGGCACCCCATCCCCCTCTGGACTCATGCTCTCATTTGTTTAAACCATTTGTGTGGCTACAATTCCGCAGCCAAATCCTAATCCTTTAATGACATTTCTTGTCCACATCTATAATATTATTCATAAATGATGTTCCTATCACAAAGTAAAGCAGGTTTAGAAAGGGATCAGCAAGAAGAGGGTAGAAAAAGAGGTTTAAGATATGGTTCCTCATCTTAGAAATTGAGGCCTAATTGGAAAAACACATTTATGAATCAGCTCTAAGACAAAAGAAACAAGGAAGTATAGTTAAGAGGCAAACGGAAATGGTTTCTAATTTAGTGATGATTGAAAAGGAAAGGAAAGGAAAGTTAAGCCACAGACGAGCATTCGGTATCTCTGAGCCCGTTCTCCTTGGCTTAATATTTGGCTATTTAACTCACTGTAGTATGAACTAAGACTTGAAGGAGGACACTCAAGTTTTTTGCCTGGCACAGAAGACAGGGGTCTCCTATCATTGACAGCTTGTCCTTCTGGAGGACACGATTGCTTTGAAATAAAAGGCACAGACCTGATTCTTAATGCCAACATGCACAAATATTTGGGAAAGCCAGAGGACTTATGTAGTGCGTGTAGATTACTGGGAGAATGGGGTTGGGGGGCGGGGGAGACTCAAGCAGAAAGCCTTCCGATTTCCTGCCACTCTTAGCATCTGCAGCTGGGATGTGCTGGCATAAGAACAGATACTATAGAGACAAGCACAGACTGGAACTCTTGTGTTATGTGCACAATACTCTAGTTGGTCTCCCTAGTATCAACCACCCCCTGCTGCTAGGCAGAATTCTATGCTTTCTGGCTAATTCTCAAGGAGATTAAAATTTGGTTCCAGTGAAGATTACCATATGGTTGTGGTTACCTTCAGGTACTAAATACATTGCTTTTAAAACTCTATCAACTATTCTACTCCCAAGAGTCCAGTCAAGCTAGGATCTGGCTGCAAAGCAATATGTTTTAATGGCATTTCCTATCAGCATTTCACAATATTTATTAATTCTATAAATATTTTAATTGAATATAAGATTCTAGGGAGTTATAATGGGAAATAAGAGGAGATAGAGATAGTTATTTAGAAGTACCACCTGTTTGTTTTCTACCACTAAGCCAGTGTGAGGTACCTGGCTGCCTCCTCCTCTTGTCCCCATTAACCATGCATGCTTAGAATATTATTAATGTGTGGATTCATGTTCCAGGGGCCACTCGCAATAGTTCAGTGTCCTTAGGACCTGTGAAGACTGTGGGAGTAGTAAGAGTCTACTTTGAGTACTTTATTTGAAAAAGTAGTAAAATAACTATTTGTAGGCAGAGAACATAGAGAACTGCTGTTAGAATACAGTGAAGATTGAAAGGCTTTGAATTTTTTAAGTGTTTTAGTTTACCAAAGGTCAAGTCAAAATGAGACAAAAGCACTGACATTGACATAGTCAGAATGATAAACATATAATCAGACTTGGATAAAGCTTAACAGTAGATGTCAAAATATGATTTTCCACTGTCAAATGATGTACCACTTCCAGGTCCCAAGTGAGGTACTTGGAAGATAACCTTCTTAAAAATTAGTTTTTAAGCTACAGATCTTGCAGGTGCTCAAGCTGACCTCAGATTAAATGCCAACATACAATATTCTATTACCTTGAAGAGGTGAATTTAGTTGTAATACAAAACTACCAAGTATAATAAGTTATATTAGAATCCCAGCAATTCTGCCTCAGGAATGTATATTAAGCAAGCTCTTAACAGACATAGGATTTTCTTAGTGTTCATTCCAATGTCCTAAGACAATAAGGAGTTTAATTTCTGCCTTTCTTATCCCACATGTCCACTGCATCCAACTGCTGTCTGCCTGTCATAAAGCTGCATTTCACCATCACACAAACATGACATTCCATTTGGAAGGAGGGACAACTGGAATTAGGAGTTCAATGTACTACCAATACATCCCTGCTTGTCTAAAAGAGGGGAGAGATGAGAGTGGGAGCAGGCAGGGTAGCTGGCTTTATAAAGGATGCTTTAAAGAGGGCAAATAAAGGGGCTAGGGCTGAGGCTGGGGCTCAATGATAGAGCCTTCACCTAGCATGTGTGAGGCCCTGGTTCAATCCTAGAACCACATAAAAATAAATAAATAAAATAAAGGTACTGTGCCCAACTACAACTAAAAAATAATTTTTTTTTTTTTTTTTTTTTTTTAAAAAGAGGGCAAATAAAGACCTTAAGCTTCATGGACATCTCTGTTTCCTACCTTTCTAAGCAATTTTTTTTGAGAGACTCTCATAGGCAGAAAGTTCCCTCCAGTTCCATTTAATTCCCTGCTTCATGAAGAGCAGGAAGAGCTCAAAGGCTATATTGAATACTAAGATATCAGCCACTTGATGAGAATACTGTGGGTCTTCCCTCCAAGTTCCCCAAAGAGTCTACCTTTCCATCTTCAGTGTTCAACTGGGACTGCTACTGCACAAAGAGGTAGAATTTAAAGCACCAAATGAGTTAAGAAGCTTTTGGTTTCCAAAACTCTGGGGATTACAGGATTGTAGACTTGTAGTCTGTTTCCATCCATGACAGTTAAATCTCAAGTTCAGTATTATATTTTCATAAAGGAAACAGGCTGAACTTGAAATCATCAACACTCAAGGTTCTTTTTAATTCTCAGGTTAAGCTAAAGCCTAATGATACCTGAAAGAATTACCTTGGAAGTCAAAGTACTAGGTATTCTACAGTCCAGGATCTTTCTGCTCAGAAATATGAAAAGTTGGAGTAAAATAAAATTCTCAGCGGTTCCTTATAGTCATAGTGTTTCACAGGAATTGCCTTAGGGCTTCAGGGGTATTGAAGTGAGGAGGAAGGTCTTGGAGGAGGAATCCCCAGTTGTTTCACCCAGGAAGATTTTCTTTTCAATACTAGAGTTTTGTGTGAGATAATTTGAAAAACTTTAAGAAATTGCACTGTCTAGGTTTCCTTCTAGTTCTAATACTTAGTAGAATGAATATTGTGTCCCATTGGGTGAGAGGCCTTTGAGTCATTTGTACCTACTCACTGATGTGTCTATTTAAATTAGCAGTGAGTGAATTCCCCAAGAATCACTTGCTTTCACTGTCACTCATATCTATGGAATCAGACTACACAAACTTCCTTCAAGGCAACAGTGTCCCATGAGACTTGCTACCTAAACAGTTTAAAGCTGCCCAGACGTGATGGCAACTCGCTTGGCTCCAAAAGATTGAGGATTTTTAATACACATAGA